AGAGAGGTCCCCCTGTAGTATTCTAATGCATACGTACGGACGTGCATACATCGGAAAAAATAATTACCCAAATATAGTTGTAATTTACGTAATTTGGATTGGTCAATAAGCAATGACGCATTTTCATAGCAAATTGCAGAAGATTTTTTCCAACAACGTTTAGAGATTTATTGCATATTATATATGAAAATGTTAAGTGACCAAAATGTCTTAGTATGCTTGATTCACCAACCTGACAAACTGTCAATGCATAATCAAATTAAAAGGCTTATCGTGGATGGTTCCCGTTTATTATATGACGTCTTCAATCAAATTATTATTAATCGCTGTGCTACGTTTTTTTAAAAAATTGGTATATAGTAACGGATAGCAAAAAAAAAGCATCCAATTTTTTTTTTAAAAAGCGCCAAATTTAAAGATTATATAATTAAATATGATTGGCTGATTTTCGTATAATAAATTCTGATTGGTTAAAAAATATATAAACATAACACCCATGTTATATAACACCTAATCATCTTGGATTAATAATATTAATAATTATTATTAACCAATTAGCCGAGTTATTAACTAAAAACTAATTAATAATGTGCAGCAAATACGTATCATTCTTAATCCGGCAAACTCATTTGACCATGAAAATATTTCTTGTTTTTTTTTTCATGTAATCATGTTTATTCAAATTAAACTCAGTCGATAAATTCCTACGAATCATGATTATAAAATGCCGGATAACACCAATACGTGTTGGGAAAATCGTTGAATACGGTAATTTGACAAATGGTTTGCTGATACGTGCGTTTTGTGGCACGTGACCATGTGACCACATAGGAATTATTAGCAATGATCAAATTATTTAACTAAAAAACTCGAAAGTCCCATCACTATATGCCATATTTGATAAATTAAAAACTATTGAGATCAGAAATTAATTTTTACTATAAATTACCGGTTAAAGTTCAATAAGAGTAAATAAGCACCAGTAAACATCAAATTTTGGCATCAAAAGAAGTCAATAGTCAACAACAGAAAATAATATCAATTATATATCAATCTTTGATGTCTCATTGATATTATCCAGATGGTTGATCACGATCAGTGACTAAAATGCCGGAGATGTAACAATTTCCGGTTGTCAGTCACGGTACTTAGATAAACTTCATTGATCGTTATTTCCGAATTACTATTGATATTTTTTCTTGGTAACAGCTTATTGCTCTATTAATTTTACCTGCGTCCCGTCTAAAAATAATAACGCAATGGTTATCAATTAATTATTTTAACGTTTGAAATGTGAAAAACAGTGACCAATTAATATGGAATTTTCCATATTTTTAAATTCCTAAAGTGCATCATTTGAATCATACAGGAGAACTAAATTCTGAGATTAAAGGTTTGTGTTACAATTCCAGTTTTTTTGATTTAGATATTATTATACTATGAAGTAATATATGAACTGAGGCATGTAATTAATTATTAAAATTATTGAAAAAACAAATATAAGACTGAAACTGTTACGCGAAAACTGTTTTAGTCTTTATTATAAATACCACCAAAATTTTCCTTTATGCATATAAGTAACTTTTTTCTTGCAATTGATTACCATCACTATCATCAATATGAGCATTAAGACATTCGTATTCGATGGGTACAAAAAAGAAAGTAAAATCATATTAGAACTCATGAAGTTCTTCGGGATCAACCAATCCGTCGATGTCTCGTTAAATTATTTCGACGACATTGATACCATTTCTCAATGTGTTATTGACGAATACAATCTTTATGTTAAATTAAGTGATATAAGACTCAATGCGTCTCTTATGCCTGACTCTCACAATTCCTCTGGCATTCATGCGTACTATTATTTCGCATTTATTTTCGATGACTTGATGGTTTTCAAGGGAATAGACTACATTGATGTTATCAAAGGTCTGGAAGGTAGAGAGAATAACTTACCACCTCTAGTATCTGAGATGCTGTCCATTTTCATGAATCACTGGAAAAAAGATTTTAAAGATAAATATATTTTATTACGAACTGAAATGATTACATGGGTGACATCAGTGAATCAGCAGTTACAAGTATCATTTAATCAGAACGAATACTTCATCTTTAAGCTCAAATGTCACGCATCCTACCTAACCCTCGTCCTAATGTTTCTAGTAAGAGATGTCAACTGCACTTATCTGGAATACCGAACATTGCAAACTACATTCGAGGTGTTCATGTTTTATATTAATGAACTCGCTTCGTGTATTCGTGAGAAAGATTCTGGAGAACTTTCATCGGTAGATAAGCTGTTTAAATCAAATGATTTCTCCAGAATCTCTGAGTACTGCACCAAACAGCTCTATAAAACGTTTAGAGAGTTTGAGGGCAAATGCAATCTTATGGTATCATTGGAATTTTTGAGGTTATGCAAGAATACTGTTTTTG